CTATTTCAGTTAATGTTGATGATTGCGTTGTTCCTTAATCTTCGAATTGGATGCGGCTTATTATTTTTTGCAGACTGTAAAAGCAATTTTATAAAAATAAACTTAAACTTTCGATTATGTCAAATAGAATATCCGATGCTGGAGCTCCCAAAGGATCTACAAAACGAAAGTATGCTTCGATGTCCGTCAAACAAAAAGTGGAATTGCTGCAAAAAATGGATAAAGACATGAAGAAGGTGACAGAGAGGTTAGTGAAAACGAAAAAATTTCGATTGACAAGTTAGTCGGTATTCTCGGCACAGCAATTACGGGACTTGAACAGCGGAAACTTTGTAACTGAACAAGAAATTTTGTCTGTTTATAGAATTAAAGAGAAAGTATTATCACATAAAAAAAGAGCAACTTAAACAACTTACATTGAAAGAAATGTTTAATAAAGTAAAGAAATAATATAAAGCTTTTTTTTTTTTTTTTTTTTTTTTTTTTTTGTAAATTTTGATACCCTTTAGATCATAATTGTTCTTTATTTCATAAATTACGGTTTCATATTTTTAATTTTAGAATTTCTGCATGCCATCTTATTTAAAAAGATTTAAACTGACGATCTATAATCCGGAATCGCCGAAGTCCCGAAGAGTCCGGATTAACGACTTTTGACTGTATTAATAAATGCATACCAAATTGAGTTAACATTGAGGAGCTGAAATTTTGATAGCTGATTTTTTAAAACTACTCGTGTAATTTTTACAAAACTTGGTAGCTTGGCATAATTTGAGTCGTAGAATCGAAATATGAAAAAAAAATTGTGATGACATTTCAGAAAATTTATAAATCTAATACATATCCTAAATTGCTCTTCCGAAGATATGGATTTTAATTACTGGCCAGGACCATGAAGTTACCACAATAAAAAAAGGAATATACCAAGAACTCAAAGAATTATTTAAAGGTTTAAATGTAAGTGTGAGTCTTCTGATGTGCTCAATTCTGATGATAATTGTACTAGTAATAATATTGCTCATGATGTTATCTCTATGTGTACTAAAAGTTCTAAATCAGATCCATGCAATGTTAAAACTGATGTAAATTGTGTATCTAATGCTCAGAATGTTGGTACTGTTAAATAATCCTAAACCAAAAAGACCTTCTAAAAAATCTAATCGTCACCAGGTCACGGGTGTTTCTTGGTGACGTAAACTAACCAAAGAATTTGTAGACGGTCGGTGGCGCTGCGATCACCGAGGCAAGCGGCTGCACGTTCGAAGCGCTCCGTAAAAAAGTGTAAAACATTCCTTTCGCCTTAGTGATTATCAATTAAATTACTTTGAAACAGTGTTTTTTCTACAAAACCTACACCTTATCCAAAGTTTTCCAGCTCCGATGCTGATGAGAATGAAACAGCAAAATAATCAAATTTCTATAAATAAGTGACTTTAAATCAATCAATTTTAATTTGATTTAAATTCATTAGGAATATTAAACACGCGTACGCGGTGCTATATTTCAATGATTTGACTTATGATGTTGTTGTATAACTTTGTCAGACAAAATAATGTAATTTAATCATAAAATTCCTGTTAACAAATAGTTTATAAACATGTAACCTTTTAAAAAATTTCCATTTTGCAAAAGATCATACGTAAAATTACGTTTACGTTTCTTCACATACCTGAAGTTTTGGAAAGGCCATTTCTTTCTGCGTTCAAAATATCCATTAACGTGCCCCATTTCTTTTTTCCATACCCTTTACTAAATCCAGCAGCGTATTTTTTCGAAATATTTCACCATTTACTCGAACTCGATTTTTTTTTTCCTACCGCCATCCTCAGTAATAAGCACGTGCGAAACAGCTCCTTTGATAACAAACTACCTCTTTCCTCTGAGCCTGGAGCAATGTCAAGGTGAGATAGACTGGTTGCTATGCAATAAACGTCACTTCCGCACGGAATTTCCACTTCATTTTCCGCCGACGGAATTTGAAAGCGCCAGACTCGCTCTCCCTTCTGCTGTCGAGTGGAAAGAGAATCCCGACTGGTTTTCCGATATCGATCTCCACCGGTGTCCAGACTAGACCCCTAAAACACATTATTTTGTCTGAAAAGGTTATGCAACAACGTCAAAAGTCAAATCATTGAAATATAGCATTGCGTACGCATGTTTAATATTCCTAATAAAAATGATAATTTTAAAATTATTCAATAATAATTCCCCCCTCCCCAAATTTTAATTTTTAGCACCCCATGATTATATAAATAATTTTATTTATTCAGGAATTATACTTATCACGTAGCTACAAATATACTATGTATCGTAGATACTAATAAGTAGAAAACTTTGGTTTGATGCATTAAAAGACGATTTACTAGTGAGAAAAAAATATAACAAATTTTTAACAAAAGTAATAGGAAGGAAAATAAAAATAATTAAATAACTATAATTTAAATCATAAAACATATCATCTTGCACACAGACATATATATTAACATATGCAGTGAAAGGAAATTGCAGTACATATTCCTATTTGTGCCCTTTTTAAGTCGATCCCACTAGTGGCCGAGGGGGTAAAATCTACGAATACTAGTAGTGCGGTCCGAGGTTCGAATCCCGCGCACGGGCGTCATTACCAACTTATCATTGGTAACTTCCAGAAGCATAGAAGTTTAAGGCTGACAAAATCTGTTTTAAATATATATATGTATATATATAAAACAGTATTATAAATATATTAACAGATGCAGTGAAAGAAATTGCAGCACATGTTCCCATTTATACCCTTTTTAAAATCGATCCCACCAGTGGCCGAGCGGTAAAATCGCTGAACACTACAAGTTCGGTCCAAGGTTGGAATCCCGCGAAGGGGCTGGCTGCATGGACGTTTTTATGGTTTTTTCCATGTGTTACGTGTATACGAGATAGTTTCCCTTAGAATGTCCTCCATGAAGGAAACTCTCACTTAAGGCAGATAGCCCTCGAGGCTTTGCCGTAATTACATAAAACTCAAACCAAGCACTTTTTAGATCTGAATAAAAATACAGAAAACTGATGTAATATCTAAAAGTAGACCAAATTAAACAATCTGATAACTAATTATAAATCATGCATTACATTATTTACAAGAATTTAGTTTAACCGAAAATTATATAGGAATTTAACTTGTTTTATACAGGAGATTCTAAAAACTATTGGAAATTCACATTGATATCGGTACAGTTAAAACTACTTAATTTTTTTAAATTCAAAGCAATTTAATGTAAATGTTGAATTTAGGATGTGCATAGTTTGAATTATATACTGCATATTCTTTAATGCATGTCAGATGTATTACATTTTTATACACTATAAATTAAAATAAAAGTAGAGGGAAATACATTATAATTTAAAACATAAAATTTCAAAATTTACAAATTACTCATGAAAACATGAAATTAAGTACATTGATATATGCATTCGTTTAAAAATTACAATTTTAAATTAAAAGTATGCACCCCAAATGTATATGTGAAATAGGAAAACACCAAATATATTATTTTCACTAAAATTTAATTAAGGCATTGGTAATATAGAATAAATAAATAATGTAGAGTAGTCAGCATCAAATGCGTTATTTCTATAGCGAAATACTTGAGTTTTTCACAAATCATAAAAATTAAAATCTATTATGTACACTTCCAAAAACAATCCGTGACCTCCGCCGTCCTCAGTTTAGCTTTAAAACGACAGTCAGAAACATAAACGGCAGCTGTCCAGCTGACGGAAAAATTTCCGACGCATCGATCTCTGTAATGATCGGTCGAGTAGATCGCAAAAAACGACCCGTTCTTCTATCTCGACGGTGTCCAGACTAGGAACCCTTGTTTTGAGGAATCTCGTGAAAGGGAAAATTGGGGATTAGGGCCATCGCGCTACTTCCCTCTCGGATCTTTTGGTTTCCCTTTTTTTTAGATCGCTTAAATATATTTTAGCCTTTAAATAATATTAAAACACACCGATTTTTTTTTCTCATACTGTTCCTTGCATGCTTAAATGTCTATATGTAAGGGATGGAATATACTTCACTGCCTTAAGTAAATTCTTAGAACTATAAGCTTATATAAATAACAGTGTGCCTCATTGTGTTAACTTAGCATTAATTAACTAATAATAAATTATGATAGTAAAATAATTAAACTTGTAATAAATTATGACAGTAAAATTAATAAATACTATGTTTTATTTAAGTTTTTAATACATATACTCTGTACTTACACACACACATATATATATATATAAACATATATACTTTGTGTGTGTGTGTGTGTGTGTGTGTGTGTGTGGTTGTTGTCTTGTATTATGTATGGCTCTATGTTCTTTGTCTGCTGCAGTTTTTTGAAAAATGTATGAAATTGTTGGGAACGAAAATAGCATAAGTTACTTTAGTTAAATTAATATATACTTTTGTCTGATGTTATGTGTCTTTTGCTGTTGTGTCTCAGGATGCAAGCATACTTATTACTTTGTATTCCATGCTAAATACCTTGATACGATGCATTTTAAGACTGTCTACACCTTCCCCCCGCCCAGTATCACGTATATTCAGCATTACCAAATACACTCACTACACACACACACGCACCTGTGAGACAGTATTTATTGTAAATGAAGACAGCTTCTTCTCCTTTTAACTACACTGATGGACACAATCTTATTTTTAGGATATTTTCTACTTTTTTCCTTTCCTCTTTCTAAGCCCTTTTTTCCCCCTCTATTATTTTTTGGGCCATTTATTTTAAATTTTATTTTGTCCCATCTTTTCTTCTTGGCCTTTCGAACTCGTACAAAATGTATGAAGTTCCTTTTTACTCTCCTCTGAAATACGAAATTGCCCCCCTTTCTATATCCTACCTTGCCTTCGCACCTAAGCTTGATTTTTGTCCATCGGTGCAGAAAGACTTAGCAGTTGCAAAACAAGACATCTGTCTACTTTGTCTGTCTGTCTGCCAGAATTCGTAGACGTTCTTTGAATTAACAAATATCTAGAGTGGCAACAGAAATTTTCGGCATCACATTTAAGTTTCTGTAAATGAGGAGAATGTGTTTACGCGCGCTTCCGTAATCTTTATCTACATGTGATAAATCTTAGTACCTTACTCATTCACGGTGACACATATGACTTATATCATGTCATCTTTAATGTGCTAGATTTTCTAGTACATTACATATCATATATGTGCTTACTTTTACGGTAAGCCTAATAGCATCCGTCAACTTAATGTTTTTACATTTCATTTCCTACGTGTAAGGATGTAGAAATTTTTTCACATTAAATGATTGTGAATCTTATTTGGATTATACAGTCTTTCTATTGCGCTTTTTAATATAATCATAGAATTTCGTCTTCTACAGTTTTATGTCACAAAAATAGAATATAGACATGTATAGTTAGTTATTCATATATGTTATCTTTAAAGAGTTGTAATCAGTTATAGTGTTAAGTAGTGATATTTTATATTAATCTTGTAAAGCATTAAGTTTCCCCGGTTATTATAGTTTATCGACGGTTGCTAAGCTTCACCTAGTTATGTAATTTCTTCCCATTTATGAAAGTATAATCAGAAAAATGCTCACTTCGTATTTTCATTTATTATTTGTAAATAATTTTGTGTGATTGAGGAAATCTGCGTACACATTCCAAATACGAATGATAAAACAAACATATTGGTCATACATCAATAATATGAACATGAATACACATTTTTTATAACTAGAATATTGTTGATAGTTAGGAAACGTATTATTATTTTATAGTAGATTTTATCAACTGTGTTGAAGGTAATTAAGACAAATCATGAATAGCAGTCAACAGTTATTATCATAAAATTATGTTAGAATATAGCTGATTAAGCCAGGTAGAGCAGAACTATACTTAATGATTTAATTGATGTTTTGCAAAGGTGAAATGAATATGTTACATAAAAAGTATTATTGAAATAATAATATGTATATTTTTTTAATGTAGCTGTAAACAAGTGCAATGACGTCAATTATAAAGTTGTTGCCGTTATCTGGGGTATATAGTGAGGACCCTCACTGCTATATACTTCAAGTAGATGAATTCCGATTCCTTCTGGACTGTGGTTGGGATGAAAATTTTAATATGACACATATAAAAGAACTAAAAAAGTGAGCAGTTTTTTCTATATATGTATATATTTTGCTTTTAATAATTTAATAAAATTCAGTTAATATTTTAAATGTGATGCATTTAAGTGCGTGTACCTACACATTTGTCTAACTGTATGTCATTAGTGCCCGAGCTAATCATCATCACTCTAAATTAATTTTAATAAGTTGTTAATGTAATTTTAGGTATTTTTCCATTATGTACCTGCCACACATTTTGATAGTGCTATTGTAATGATATATGTGTGTATGTTTAATTATTCTTGTTTACACACACATACTTCCTAAGATGGTGTTAGTTTTGGCTTTCAGCATGTGTTTGGCTTTTTATTCACAGGGGTCAAAATGCATGACAGATCCATAACAGAAAATTACCTAATTTTAAATATTTATAATTTATCAATATATCCAATTTATAATTTTATAAGCATTGTCAGCATTATTTTAATCAATAAAAGGCCTTTCTACCAACATTAAAATAACAAACATTCATATTCAGTCTTTATATTTAGTAAGAGGTGTAAGTGCACATAATAATGCTTTCAAATACTTAAGAAGAATATTGATTGATTTTAGAATAATACATGTTAACTTGTTACTTAATATATAGCAAACGTATGTGTACCTTTTGTGTTGTTGTAACATTGCTTTTCTAGTGCTTAAGAATTATTGTAACCACCTTAACATATTTTTCGACAAAAAGGAATGGTGACTTATATTAATAATAAAATTTTTATTAAACACATATATATTATGCATATATTTTACATTTTAATTAGGCATTTATCATGAAAATCAATAAACAAACCCATTATAAGGGTACTTTTTGCTTCTTTTGTTTTGCATCAAATTCCGTGGAACAGATTTAAAACAGTTATTCTTTTGCAATTCTGTTGAAAAATATTATATTGCTGCAGAAATTTTCTCACTATTTCCTCCATTGCAGACCAATTCTACGGCTAAATAATATTTTAAAACCGAGTTTAAGATATCACTATTTGTTCATAAAAACTGTTAGAATTTAGAATACAACAAGGAGAATGCATATGAAAATGGTGATGTGGCCTGTCGTAAAAACTGAAGAATTGAAAAACTTTTATTGCAGACAGTTATCAGAATAGGGTTTTCTGAAAAATTGGCAACAACTAAAGTGGTTGTGTTAATATGTAAGCATGACTTTCCTTGTTACCTTGTGACGAAAATATTGCAAATTGTCAACTTGTTGACTTCATTATATTCAGTACATATTGACTATGTATATTTGGAATATCAAATAAGCAAAATTTATTTCTATTTTAAAAAAGGAATAGATCTCTCTAGCTGCTTTTAAAGCACTTTGTTTTTACTATAGAAATTTCTTGGTTTTGTTATTTATTTTTCAGATTTGCATTTATTTTCTAAAGACAGAGAAGTAAAATTTCTATTTTAGATGTAAGGAGTTTAATTAAAATGTTTTTGTATTATTACTGGACAGTTAAAAATTTAAGACATGATTGATGTCATGTGAGAGAAGCAATTATGCTATGCAATGCAATCAGAAGTTGCGTATAGTTTTGATTAGAGAAAGATAGAATTAAAGGACATAAATAGTTATTTTTCTCCGGTGAATTATCAAGAAAACAATGTTCTTCAAATAAGCACTGAATATGTTTTTCGGATTGTTTATTTTATGAAAAAAAAAAAAAAAGTATATCTCATTGAATAAGATATAAAAGTCATTTCAAATATATTTTAAATGGAAATAAAGGGAGAAACATATATATGTTAGCTTTGCTTTCACACAATGTTTTCGGTGCATGTGCCCCTTTCTATAAAGAAATATGAAATTATATTTATGATTAACTTAGAAGTGTTTAAATGAAATGCATTTATTCAAAATGCTTTCCAAGGGTCCAAGTGTTTGATGTTTTGTTCCACTTCAAATCGCAGTTTTGTGCTATTTTTTTGAAGCCTCACTCCAAGAATATATAAACCTTAGAACATCAGAAAAGAGAATCAAGATGATTTAAATCAATGGTCTGAAAATGGTAGCCCCTGAAGCAATTTTGTGTGGCCCATGAATATGCAAGGTATGACACACATACACATACACATACACATACACATACACACACACACACAAAAAAAAAAAAAAGAGAGAGAGAGAGAGAGAGACTGGTCCAATAAATCATTGTACTTACAGAATCAGTTCTCCATGACATCACCTTCAAAGTAGTTCCCTTCAGCATTCACACACTTCTGCGTTCGGTGCTGCCATTGCTGGTAACAGTTCTGGAACTAGGTTTTTGGAATGCCCTTCAGGAAATTCTCCGTTTTTGCCTGAACCTCCTCAGCTGAGGTGAAATGGGTTCCCTTTAAGTAAGATTTAACTTTAGGGAATAAAAAAAAAGTCGCATGGAGCCATATCAGGTGAAAAAGGAGGATGCCCCATCACAGTAAAATTTTTGCTGGTCAGAAACCGCTTTACAGATAGGGCCATGTGAGCGGGTGCATTATCCTGGTGCAACAGCCATCAATCACTCTAAAACTGGCCTTTTTTTTTTTCATGAAATCTTTTTAGTACTTCAGTGTAGTAGTATTGATTAACAGTCTGACCACTGGGAACCCATTCAATCAAGATGAACGTGATGAGTGTCCTCTTGGCTGCACAACACATTCATCATCTTCCATACTGTCCCTTCCCACTGAAAACCGCTTATGCTATTCAAGCATACATGCATGAGATAAAAGTTTCATCTCCATAAGCCTTGGTTAACATTTGAAATGTTTCCTCCGTGGCTGATTTCTTAAGTTTCACAACGAACTTGATGTTGATTCGCTGTTCAGTTTTTACATTAGACATTTTTCTGGGAGAATGCAGTTGCACGTGTTCACTCAATGACGCAGTATTCCCCACTGGCATGGTCGGTTAAGTCGAAACTGGCCACATAGAGGAGGTATGTGGCATAACATCACCAAAACAGTTTTTGCCAATTCCACTCTTTTCTTGAAGCTGCACACTTAGTTTCTTTCTTTCTTTCTTTTTTTGTGTCACACCTCATATCTGTGCGAGATTTTTTTTTTTTTTTTTTTCTAGTGTGAAATTTATTAACAATAAGCACAGACACTGAAGACTCACTAATGAACATTTGAACAACTGTATTAAAATAGCAGCCATTACTTACTCTCCCAACATTAAAAGTGATGACAAAAAAAGAGTTCTACTCTTCTCGTTAAGTTAATAGGTCTGATAAAAAAATGTTATTACATTTGTTATTTATTACCAACTACACTTCAGTTTCTTTCATATTTACAATTCAATTTCAGTTTCTTTTTGTTATATACAGTTTAATTGATTTCATATTTACTAAAATATAACTTTATAGGCAATAAACAATTGTAAGATTTTTTAAAAAATGCTGCTAGTCTTTTGGTTGGTAGCTCAGTAGAGTGTCAAAGCAGTATGGTAGTTCAGAAGCATCATAAATTTGGCAACCACTGATTTAGATGAACAGTCAGTTGTCCAATTGATTAATTGTATTTAAGGCTAATCTTCGGAATATGGTAACAGGTAGTTTGGCAACATTTTGGTAAGGCGATAAAGGTTACTAGTGAGGACTTTAGCAGTGTACATGGATAAAGTCAAGTGTGCGCATTGCCACTTTTGTGCAATTCTGGGATGTTTTTTTAAGTGAAAATAGGTCGACGTGTACATGGATGATACCGTGTATGTGCAATTCTTAAAAACGCAGCAAGCAGTGGGCGATTCTGCACTTTCTCCCAGTTTCGCACCTAATCTTCGTCATGATTAAGCACTTTTGTTCCATAACTTTTGTTGCACTTTTGTTCATTCTGCCCTTGTTTTGATAGAGTTAACTGAAGTGGTGATTTTACATTTGTTGCCATTGTGATAATTGCAAGCTCATTACCTCTTGTCATTTCACATAAAGTTGTTAAAGGAATAAATACCATTAGATTTATTTGATATTTGGCTGAAAACATAATTTTATTAAATTCATATTGAACTTTTTTTTTTTTTTCATTAATAAACCGGAATTTAAGTATGTGAAGTAGTAACTATATAAAAGTTTAAAAACTAGAATCCTTTCAAATTTTAAAAATTTCTTTTGGGAACAACATATGAAAGTGTTGTGGAAATGGAAATATTTATATTTAATAGGCAACTAAAATGCCTAAAATAAAATTTAAAATACATAGTACATATAATTTTTTATAACTGATCTTTGAAATTATCTTTGAATATTGTATAGATGCAGCTTTGTTAGTTATGAATTCAAGTTTTCTGATCTATTTATTTGTTTATTTTCTCCTTTGATTTTTTTTTTTTTCTTTTGGATGAAAACTTGTCAAGAATATATATATTTTAAATTGAGTATAAATGATAAATATCTTGTATTCTGTAATTTTATTTAAAGTTAAGGCCCCCCCCCCCTTTTTTTTTTTTTTTTTTTCAGGCATGTTCATCAAATAGATGCTGTACTTTTATCTTATCCAGATATTCTACATCTTGGTGCTTTACCATATGCTGTTGGAAAATGCAATTTGGACTGCCCAATTTATGCTACTATACCTGTATATAAAATGGGACAGATGTTTATGTATGACTTGTTTCAGGTAATTAATATGCTGTTTTAAAAATAAATATATGATTCTGATTTATCATAATTTATTGCAATTATCTAGTGTCAGCAGTTCTAGGGTATAAAAAGGTATATTTAAAAATTAAAAAGTATATTGTTGTTTTGGTACTGTATTTAATTAATTTTAGCATTTTATAAATATTAAATTGTGGCCAATGTGAATACTACAAGACTTTCTTGTACAACCTATTAAATATTCTTTTTAGAACTGTAGCGTTGCGTGCCTCCAACTTGCACGCAACCAAGAGGTGACTGTGAAAACTGGATAAAAGACAGAGTCTTGTTAAGAGTTTAAGTCCCTTTTTATTCAACGTAATAAATTACAAGTGCGTGCTCTTGACGCTCACAAACTGCGCCAACTCGGCGGTCAAATAAAAATAATAACCTGAAAAGAAACTAAAGACAAGACTCTAACTACGAGGCTCTCTAAAAGTAACTAACCTCACCGCGTTTTACAATACCGCTAATTCAGCAAACTTGAAGATCACTTGAACATTAACAATTCTTCCAGGCCAGCACCCAGGCCGAAACGCGGGGTTCTTCAATTTCTGGCTAACTACCTCCGCGCTCGTGAAGTAAGAACAGCACACCTTGAACTCGTTTCCTTTCTATTTAACTCAGAATACTTCCGCTGATAATTTGAATCCTTGCGCGTTCTACTAAAATTTACATACTCTGGCATTGGCAGTTCCAGGGGAAAGTAAGGCTTGACAGGAAAGGTAGTTTAAACTTAAAATAAATGTTAGTTAAAATAAATATAAACCCTACATTTGCCGCTGCCAGAATTTGGAAAACTTGGAAGCGGGTCCTACAAACGACCTGTTGTAAGTTTCTATAATTCTGAACTAACTCTCGAGAACCTCATTTACACAAAAAAATCTTATGTAACAAATTGTATACTAAAATTCTGTGTATACTTATAACTCTGTTTTCTTACAGCAACTTTTCCTGGACTCTTAGTTATTGCTTAATTCACATTCATTCAATTTTTGAAGCATTAATTTAACTTTACCCTGGCTCTCCACCATGTGTGGTGTCAAACGGGAATATTCGTGTTTTAGTCTTACAACACTTCCCCTAACCACCATGATTTGTTAGAATTCAACAACCAAATAGACACACCTTACTCGACATTCTACAACTCAATGAGCTACTTTAACATTCTTAAAAATTCAAGTGTAGGTGGAGAACCCTACAAAATACATTCATTCTAACTTCCCCCTCATTCATCTTTAAACATGCAGGCTTTCGCTCTAAAGCATGACTTTATCTACAGTTTAATACTTAAATTTTGAATTCATTAATTTTGAGCATTTTACTTTTAGCATCTAAAATTTTATGCTTCTAGACTAAATTCTACTTTTACATAACATTCAAGTATTTACGTACATTTACAAAATTTTAATACATATGATTTTTACAATTTACCATAAAAATGAATAGAGAATAAATTTTTACTTTACTCATTCTTCGCCAAGCTGGCGGCACTGAAACTAAAATTCTTATTAATACAAGAATACAAAGTTATTTTTATCTTTGGCCAAATTTTGGCTTTAACATAACAGAATTAGTCTTTCGACCAACAGAAAATGCTTGTTCTTAGCTTTTATACTTAAAGAAAATAATACTTTCGCCTTAGCTAAATAAAGTAAAACAAAACTAAGTCTCAACCGAGACATATTGACTTTCGTCAAAACATAGAACTTCGTACTTATGCATAACATTTCGGAACAAAAGAGAAAAAAAAATTTATAGAAGATTTTAACTTATCTTTGAGTTTTCGATGCTTGAAACTCCGTCATTCTTTTGTGGCAATATTGTTCCAAAGTTATAGGTTTCATGGACGTCAATCTTCTCCTTACTGCCCTCCGAGTGTCGTCCACATTAGTTTTTCTTTTGCGTCCTCTGCATGCTGGCCACTTGGCGGAGTAATCGTCTGGTTGTTGTCGTTTCTGTTTTTCCATGGGACGGCTGGTCTTGACGTCCTCCGGCCTGGAGTCCTTCTTGAATTTCTTCTGTTGTTCATGGTATTTTTGTTCCTGTTGCCATTTCAGTTTCCGGAACGGCAGCCTTGCTGGCACCTGACTCTCTGGCCCTGGGCGCGTTCTCCTTGATGTATAATTTCTCCTGCGATCCGTTGTAGGTGGTGTTTTGCTCTTTACCACGGTTTCTTTATGCGGTGCATCTGTATTCTTGTTTTTCTTAAATGCTGGAGTTTGAAAGTTTTTCTTTTTTCTTTTTGGTACCGTCGTCCGGGTTGTAGAAGGGCTAGGTCTCTCTTCAGTTCTCTGCTTCTTGGGTGGTGGAACAGTTGTTGTTATCTCTGGACCTTCTACTTGCTTTACAGATCTCCCCTCTCTCGTTCTTAAGGTATAATATGACACCTTTGATTTCCTGAATTACATAGGGGCCTTCAAATTTTGGAGCTAGCTTTGCCGTAAAATTGTCTGGGGCACTTGATAAAGAAAATTTCCGCTTCAATACTTTATCCCCAACTTTAAAATCTGCTTCACGGCGTTTTCTATCATAATATGTTTTTTTTTTGCTTATTTCTTGCCGTATCCGAGCTTTTAAGCGTCTGATCAATCAGTTTTTTTGCACATCTTTCTGTTTAAACTCTTGCTCTCTTTGTTGGCACAAAGAATAATTTATCTAAAGGCGTAATTAACTTTCTGCCTAAAAATAATTCTGCTGGGGTTTTTCCCATAGTATCGTGATTTGCCGTTCTTAAAGCATAAGCTAATTCATTTATGTAGCCATCCCAGCGCTTGTGATGTGTGCTCACGTAACTGCGAATTATTTTTACTATGTTTTTATTCACTCTTTCTGCTATGTTTGCCTGTGGTCTATACGGAACCATTTTGATATGGCGTATGCAAAGTCCATTGCATATGTTTTCAAATATTTGACTAATAAATTGTTTTCCGTTATCGCTAATGACTTTTATCGGTGCACTATATTTTAAAATGTATTTGTGTAAGAATGCATCTACGACTGTTTTGGCAGATGCGCGTTTCAGTGGAACAATTTCTGTCCATTTTGAAAAATGATCTACTATTACTAAAAGAAAACGATTTTTATTTAACTCGCTCTGGGGGAAGGGACCAAGAAGATCTATGCGTAAAATTTCATTCGGAAATGTAGCGCGAATGCTATTTAAGTACCCGGCTGGGCTGTAATTCATATCATTTATTAACTGACATTGATTGCAGCACCTGACATAACGCGCAGTTACTATTTTGTATAATTGCGGGAAATATAACCGCCTCGCGTACCCTTTTCTAAAGTCTTTCTGACCCCTAAATGACCCGCTGTTTTTCGCGTCGTGTAATTCCTTTCAAAATGCTTAATCGAAGCGAGGCTGGGATGACTGGTTTGTACTCGAGATTTTCGTTTGTTGTTTCGTATAAAATAATAAAATTATCTATTATTTCGTAGTTTTCTGCTCTATTTCTTATCGCATCGATATCTGTGTGCTCAAAGCTTTCGGGGTCTTTCAAATATGCATAGATATTTCCAAATTCAGGATCAGCTTTCAGTTCAGTAATAATCGTATCTCTAGAATCTAAATTTTTGAAGTCAACACAGCGCATTTAAGTTCATTTCCTTCATCGTCCAATTTTATACGAGAAAGTGCGTCAGCTACATTGTTTTCCTTACCCGGTTTATATTTTATTCTGATATTATATTCTTGGAGTTTTAAAGCCCATCTGTTTAACCTGGGCATTAGGTTTTTCCCCGAGTAAAGTCTACCAACAGCCGCATGATCCGAAAAGACTGTTACTGGCGCTTTGCCGAAATAAACTCAATTTGTGTACAGCCATTAATACGGCTAATGTTTCTCTTTCTGTAGCTGTATAATTCCTTTGTGTCTGATTCAATGTTTTACTAAAAATACTAGAGGATGGCTATTTTTTGCATAAGAACCGAACCACCACCCACCGCATAGTCTGACGCATCTGCTGCAATTTCCAGGTTTTCGTCCCCCTCCGGGAATTTTAAAACAGGGGCATTGATGAGCGCTTCTTTTAATCTTTCAAAAGCTGTGTTTGCTTCCGCTGTCCACGTAAATTTACCTTTCTTTCTTTTGATTACTAAGAGTGGTTCAACAATATTAGCGAAATCTTTTATGAAAGACATAACCCAAGGAAAGAAGAAAGTTTCTTGGCGGTGGGAAATTCTTGATGGCTTTTATTTTTCAATCTTGCGTTTCTATATCCTTTTGCGAAATTTTATAACCTAGATATTTAAGTTCTTTAGTTGCGAACTTGCATTTTGAGGCGTTAATTGTAAGACCTCTTTTAATAATTTAAAAACTTGTTCTAGATCATTAATGTGTTGTTCCAATGTACTACTCGTTATAATTATATCATCTGGATAAATTAAAGTTGATTTTCCTAGGACAGGCTTTAGAACAATGTCCATAGCTCTCTGGAATGTTGATGGGGCCCCACACAACCCAAAGGGCATGCGAAAAAATGCATAGTGCCCGATTTTGTTATAAACGCGGTTTTATGTACGTCTTCGAGTCTCATAGCTATTTGATAGTAGCCAGACGTTAAGTCCAAAGTAGACATGTATCTTGTCGATTTGATCTGTCTAATGATTTCCTCTATAACCGGCAAAGGGTAAACTGGAAATTTAGTGATACTATTTAGTTTTCTGTAATCAATAGCAAACCTCCAAGCCCTTTTTTCCGAAGGAGGAAACTCGTTCTTTTTCCTACATAGTACGACTGGACTCGTGTACTCACTATTTATGGGCGTTATTATTTTATTCTTTAACATCTCCTGAATATGTTCTTCGATGATTACGTCTTTTTGTTTGTCGTACCGATAAGGTTTAGTCCCACAAGGTTTTTCGGCATTTAATTGAATCTTGTGCGTGACTATTTGACAATTTCCTGGTTTTTCTGAAAACAAATTAGAAAAATTTTTCACCACTTGCTGTATTGCTTGCCTTTCATGGTCATTCAGATGGCTAAGGTCCACTTGCGGTGTCTCCACAGGTTCCACCACCCTCTGGTCCATCTCCATACCACGGAACTGTCTTGAAAATTCAATTTGGCCCTCGTGGCCCTTAAAAACTCCATACCTAAAATAAGAGGATTTTTTGCAGATTTTTTTCACTACAAAAATTAATACTTTGAGGCTTTCCTCTTTTTACCTGTATGTTTAATGATAATTTCCCGATGCAGTGACATGTTTTTTCCTTCCGCCGCTATAATTTCCGTATTTTTGGTTTTAAATAATCGTACCCTATAAAAATTCTTTTTGAAGTAATTTTCGCTCATAAAATTTCCTTCTGCTCCTGTATCGATGAGGGCTTCTACTGGTACATCGCCAGCCAGGACTTGTATAATTGGTAGATGTGAGTTTTTTACAATGACCGTATTTAAATGTCTTTTTGAGGGTTTTTTTAAAACTTCCGGGGTCTGGACCCTCCCTTTCACAGGCCCCTCTACTCGTTTAAAGCTTTCCTTTCAAATTGTGCCTTCTGGGTATTCGGATGTTTATCTTCGAATTTTCTTTTTGGGCCTTGACCTTCGAGTTTCGATGAGTTAGCTTGATAGCTCTTTCCCCATAAGAGCGATTTCCATTTCTGGTTTCCTCCTCATTTGAAGATTTCCTTCGGGTACTTTGAGAATACGTTGCAGCTCTAGCTTTTCCCCCCGCTATTCTGCGATTTTGAAACTTCACCCACCGCCAATTCGAAGAGCTCCTGCAATGTTGCTTGGGTTTCTAATTTCGAAGTAGTCTTGAACAGCGGGTAACAATCTTGGTAAGATTATTTCAATAATTTTCCGCATCGGGTTTCTTCCCATACAGCATATCCGTCAGCTTAATTTTTCGTAGAATAAAGTCCGTCAAATCTTCTATATCCCGTTGATAGAAACTATATAGTTCGGCTTCCTACCTTGCTCGATCTTTCACTATGGGGAAGGCCTTTACTTTACTAACGATTTTTTGAAATTTTCAAATGTATATGTCTGGCTTCCAAATTCCCCCTAATAAAAATTTGCCTATATTTTTCCACCATAGCGCGGGCCTGTCCTCTTAGTGCGGATGTGGCGATGGCAACTTTTTGTCTTTCATCTTTCAGGAACAGGGTAGAGCTGAAAGTGGTTTTCTAGACATTCTAGAAATACCGCCACCGAATTTTTTTTTCCGTCGAAATGGACGTTTGGCTTGATTGACGCTCTCAAAGTCTGGACCAGGTATCCAAATCCTTCCAATTGGCTTGTCATTTCTTGGTGTTGTCCAGCGGCTTCCATCCAATTTTCGGCCATTTCAGTTCGATAAGTGTTCGGGCGCCAGTGTAGCGTTGCGCGCCTCCAACTTGCACGCAACCAAGAGGTGACTGTGAAAACTGGATAAAACACAGAGTCTTGTTAAGGGTTAAAGTCCCTTTTTATTCAACGTAATAAATTACAAGTGCGTGCTCTTGACGCTCACAAACTGCGCCAACTCGGCGGTCAAACAAAAATAATAACCCGAAAAGAAACTAAAGACAAGACTCTAACTACGAGGCTCTCTAAAAGTAACTAACCTCACCGCGTTTTACAATACCGCTGCTAATTCAGCAAACTTGAAGATCACTTGAACGATTAACAATTCTTCCAGGCCAGCACCCAGGCCGAAACGCGGGGTTCTTCAATTTCTGGCTAACTACCTCCGTGCTCGTGAAGTAAGAACAGCACACCTTGAACTCGTTTCCTTTCTATTTAACTCAGAATACTTCCGCTGATAATTTGAATCCTTGCGCGTTCTACTAAAATTTACATACTCTGGCATTGGCAGTTCCAGGGGAAAGTAAGGCTTGACAGGAAAGGTAGTTTAAACTTAAAATAAATGTTAGTTAAAATAAATATAAACCCTACAAAACAACAATAAACTGATATTAAATATCCTTAGATATTTATTGTTAGACTAACTACATATTTAAACTTATTATATGTGTAGTTAGATTTTGCTATTTGTTGAAAATTAATTTTTTTAAACATTTGGCATTGCCCAAACAGGAATATTTTCATCATTTAAAAGATTTTTGCAATTGGAAGTCTGTGACTATGACTAAATATTATGAAAAAAAAGGTGGGTAAGTACTCCTTTAAGCCAGGTAAGGGAGTATGTATGTATATGGGATGAAAAAGACATAGCAATGTCAAAGATTAAATATTCAGCTTTATTCAATTGACATTTGCAATCACAATTTACTTGGCACTTTAATTGTGCCTGTTCAAGAACTTATACACTTTTGATACTGTTGCCACAGGAAGAGAGCAAAGCGAAATAGCGCTAAGTGGCAACAGAGGTATAAAGCAAATGTGCACAGTTATATCCAACGTGGAAGCTCACCAAGAGAAAGTTTTGGTTCAAATTACTTTAGAAATAAATTAAGAGAAAACTTAAAAAGTGCTCGAAACTCTGAGTTTAGGTACCGAATTAGCTACGTCATCAGCGTTATAGCCATGTGATATAGACTGATCTAGAAATGATGCAGTCGAAGAAATTTATTGCGATATTTAGAATACAGATAAGAAGTACCCAAATTAAAAATGAGAAATCAAGAGGCTATTGCTAAATTAAATTGTAAAACTGATTTACATATTTTTTATCTTGCACATCTATGCTCATTTGGTGCTGCCAATTGCAATAAAAAGAGGTGAACAACTAGATATTATAGCTGACCCATATACAAAATTTCAACGTTCAATGTATAATCATTTTTTAACTATGCAAAATACATATACATACATGCGTACAAATCTCACGAAAAATTCCATTTTACAATTCATTTTGGAAAAAGTCTTTTATTCTATCCATACTTACAGACATATAGAAAAAAAGTCATCCAAATTGCTTCAAGAACAGTTTAAATGGATACTTCTATTGAAATACGATACTCAAAATTTTTTGGGATACAATAGTTCCTTTACTTCGTACTAGGAAGTAAAAATAATGTGTATATGGGACTGTGTTTGAAATTTTATCTAGCAATTAATTCTTATGAAATATACGAGGCGTATTCGGAAACTAAGTACCGTTTTGAAAAAAAAAAAAAAAAAAAAAAATAAAACAATTTTTTTCAAATCCAATTTTTTTTTACATGAAAATACATGTCTTAAACTATTTTTCAACATAGTTTCGCCAATGATCAAACACTTGTCATAGTGGTTGACCAGTTTTTGTATACCATCGTCAAAGAAACTTCCCGCCAGTTTCGATAACCACGACTCCACAGCATTTTTCGTGTCATCGTCAGATCCAAAGTGCTTGCCACCAAGCTCGCGCTTCATGTGCAGGAACAAGTGATAGTCGGACGGCGCCAAGTCCGGGCTGTATGGTGGGTGATCGAACTGCTCCCAGTGAAACTGTCGAATTAACAATTGAGTGACACCAGCAGTATGGGGCCGAGCATTGTCATGGAGCAACACAATTCCTTTACTGAGCATTCCTCTTCGTTTGTTTTGAATGGCACGCCTTAGTTTTGTTAAAGTCTCACAATATTGTGCCGCATTAATGGTTTCATCTCTGGGAAGAAATTCAGTAAGCAAAATGCCTTTCCTATCCCAGAAGACAGTGCACATGATTTTTTGTGATGACGTTGTCACTTTGATCTTTTGTTTTTTCGGAGAATGAGTGTGTCTCCACTCCATTGATTGTTGTTTCGATTCTGGTGTGAAATGACACACCCAAGTTTCATCACCTGTCACAATTTGGTTTAAAAAGTTTTTTCCCTCATTACTGTACCGCGTGAGAAATGGCAGGGCACTACCAAGTCGCTTTGTTTTGTGAACATCAGTGAGCTTTTTTGGAACCCATCGGGAACACAGTTTGCGATAATTCAAGCGGTCAGACACAATTTCGAACAAAACAGTACGTGAAATTTGTGGAAATGCCTCTGAAAGAGTTGTCATTGTGAAGCGTCTGTTCTCATGAATTGCTTCATCAACTTTCTTTACCAAATCATCGGTGACAACAGAAGGCCGACCACGAGCCTCGGCGTGGACATTTGTTCGACTTGCATTAAACATTCTTACTCACTTTCTCACCATTCCATCACTTATCGCGTATTCACCGTAAACTTCTGTCATTTGACGATAAATTTCGGCCGGTTTAACATTCCTCGCGTTCCAAAATTTAATCATTAATAAAATTTATTGGTGTATGGCACGAATCTCACAGTCAGCAGGAGAACTAATTGTCTTAAACATTTTGAATGTGCACAGCAAACTGAAAACATAACATAGAGCAACCAAAATGGGGACAATTGAAAGTCAGTGAACAAGAAAGACTAGTGTGCATGCGCGGGACGCCTACCACAGCGCTAGAATGAAACGGTACTTAGTTTCCGAATACATTACATATTACTTTTGAATGAGTAATAGTCTCGAACCTAATCTACCTCAGAGTACTGGAGATTACAGTTCTTGCATAAATAATTGTCTCTCAGAGATATTATGCTAATTTGGTGTTATTTTGATTCAAATTGTTTGAATAATTACATAGATCATAAATGTTTTGATAAAGCAATGCAAATCCACTAACAGTACTCTCTCATATAAGCTGTAGTATCATATGTAAATTTTACTTTTGTTGATGTTTGTTTAAAACTAAGTATCTTGCTAAATTTTTGGAAATAAATGACACAATATTGTTGTTCAGGAGCAGATTATTCTGAGTATTGTCTTAAATATGATACAGTGAATATATAAATTCCATAGCAATTTAAATATTGTTAAATAGGCAGTCTGTTTTAATAAAGATGGATCTTTTTAAAATTCATTTGGACCTTGATATAGCATTGGGTTGTCTGTTTATTTTATTTTATTTTTTTGATGAACTTTATAATGTTAATTGCTTGATTTTTACTTTCAGTCTCGGCATAATACTGAAGATTTTGATCTTTTTACCTTGGATGATGTTGATGCAGCATTTGACAAGATTATACAATTAAAATATAGTCAGACAATCAACTTAAAAGGTAGAAGGATTTTGATTTTATTAATTAAAATAATTTTTTTAATTGGTGTATGTATTTTCTAATGATGGAAAATTGAATTTCTGTTTTTGACTTTGAGATATTTTTCATTACAAAGTTTTCGTGTTTTATTGAACGAATAAACATGTTAAAACATGATTGAAATCATGTGAGAGAAGCAGTTATGCTATGCAGTGCAGTCAAAGTTATATGTAGTTTTAATTGGAAAAGGTTAGGATTAGACGACATAAATTGTTCTTTCTCTCCCATGTGAGTTATTTAGAAAACACTGTTTTTCAAATAATCATGGGATATGTCTGTGAGACCATTGAAAACATGCTAATGAAAAAATTTATTATTTATTATTGAGAGCATGCCAATATAAAAAAAAAAAAAAAAAAAAAAAAAAAAAGAGAGAGAGAGAGAGACCAAGAGAAAGACCTCTTATTGAATAAGATATATAAAATTCTGTTAATTTTTATATTAAATGTTGGTAAACTTGTATTTTGCACATGGGTTCTATGATTTCTATAGGCTGTTAGTTTCATTCTTAGCACTAATGCGAAGTGGAAATGTGCTCAATACAGTGTTAATTTTAATAGCGTTCCAAATTAAAATTTTAAAAGTTTGAAATTTCATATAAATGGAACTGCTGTAAACAAATTCATAGGCTACTTATGTATGATCACAACTGTCTTAAGGGAAGTTGCTAGATTTTCAGAATGTGCCAAACTGTGGCAACCATGCACATTATTATCATTTATTTCTCTTAACGCTGTCATTAATTACACTTCTAACTAATAAATCATGGTAAAACAAAATTTCTTACCTTGTCCCAGTGGGTTCTGCCAGGCCACTGTTTGAATTATTCTCCTCTGTGCATCTCTATCTGGAATCCTTTGAAGGGAATAATCCATAATGATCAATACATTTTTTACACAAACATATTTTAATGAAGACGCAAACGGGTTACAGAATATTTACATAATGAAAAGGGTTTTAATTTGGCATGACGCAGCGTACGACTTCTCTGTTCCGAGTTCTCGTGCGATCTCTCCGCGAGAGTTCATAGTTCGAGATGACGTCACTCAGCCATCGGATCTCAGCAAGAGTTGAGCTGCAACATCCTCCAGCCCGAAAGACAATTGCTATAATTGTTTTCCAGGTCGGCTATGGTCCGGCCGACAATTGCTATAATTGTCCTTATTGCATTCCAGCTCCATTGGATATAGTAGTTGCACTGGTCTTTTAATCATATGGCCATTGGGCAAGCGCACAGCACAGGCTCTCACCTTGCCATCTCTTCCAGGAAAGATTTCCATTATGATGCCAATCTTCCACATCAGCCTTGGAATTTTATCTTCATGCACTAATAGTTCTTTTCTTCAAACAGGTTCCTGTTTTCGCCAGTTTGGAATGATGAGCAGATTTTAAATTCATCAAATAATCCTGTCTTCATTTTCTCCAGATTCTTTTTACCAGTATCTGTTGATGTCTACATCAACGTGCAAGACTCTCCTTTGTTGAAGTTAATTTAGAGCTTCCTTGCAGCAATGATAGTAACCGTCTTCCTATTAAGAAGTGACTAGGGGTCAAAGATTCTGGCTCTCCTACATCCGAGTATGTAAATGTTAAAGGTCTGGAGTTCAATATAGCTTCCACTTCTGTTATGACTGTCTCTAATTCCCTGAATGTCAAGGATGATTTGCCTAAGATTCTCTTCAGAACAACTTTCAGAGACTGAACCATACACTTCCAAAAGCTTCCCCAATTATAAATTTTCATTCCGTCCTCTCAATAAATGCCACCCTCTCAATTATAAATTTTCATTTGATTCCATGCTTAGAGAACTTGTCTTGAACTTTATTGTTTTTCATCACCTGGTTTAATAGCTCTAATTCTGTTTTCACTCTTTTAAAGGTTTTGGCATTATCGGTATACGCTATTTGGCACAAACCTCTTCTCGCTATGAACCGTCTAAATGCAAGCAAAAAATTTTCTGTGGGAAGGTCAGCTGTAAGTTCTAAATACACGACTCTAGTTATAGCACAGGTAAACAGTAAAACATATGTCTTAGATATTTCTCTTCCACTTTTGACGTGCAATGAACCCACATAATCTATTCCGGAGTTCTCAAACGGAAAAGCTTCTCGGCATCTGTCTGGAGGGAGAGGTGCCATATCTTTTTGCAGACATTACATTGTACAGAACACTTTTAATTTTCCTACGAGCCTTCTGCAACCAAAACTTATCTGTTATTTGATTTGAAGTATCTGCTATTCCTCCGGGCCCTACCACCTAGTAACTGTGAAGAATAATTAGATCAGTCAAATGATCTTTGTCAGGCAACATAATTTGATGTGCTTGTTTGTAATCCAAATTTGAATTTTCTATTCGTCCACCAACATGAATTACACCACTTTCAGCTACAGATGGATTGAGGGACTTCAGTTTTGATTCTGAACTTAATTCCTTGTTGTTCTTCAATGCCCGTATTTCATTTGTGAAATTCGCTCCTGAACACGATTGATCCAGTAAGTTTCTGCCATTTCCAATTCGGTAACCTGCAAACATCCTGATAATTTTGATGTATTTTTAACATTGTTGATGAACCTTAAGCACCAAGCAGTAATTTGGTAAATTCGGTGTAAATTCCTGTAATTTTGGGCTTTAAATAAATCTTCGGAAGGTTCGGTAACGCATGAATTTACGAAAATTTCCTTCGATGTTTTTCTTAGTTCTTTTTTGGAATCTTCAGTGTTCTTTGTAGAACATAAATTCGGTTTTGGCCAGTGTTCCATTTCTTCTTTTAAACACGTGGGCCCTTCCCACCATATACTATTCTGCTTCAGATGTTTGACATGTTCACCTCTGCTTAGCAAATCAGCTGGATTATTTTCACCAGGCGTATATCTCCAGTTCAAGACATCTGAATTCTTCTGTATTTCCTTCACTCTGTTCTGAACGAATGGCTTCCACCTTTTCACATCACTTCGAATCCAGTGTAACGTTATTTTAGGATCAGTCCCCATATATACAATTAAATCAATGTCCTGAAGTTTCTTTTGGATGTATTTTGACAAGCAGGATTCTATCAAAGCACCCATCAATTCCAATCTGGGAAGTGATAATTTTTTAAAAGGTGCTACTCGGGATTTTGATGTAATGAAGCTTGCATGAATGACTCCATTTTTTGAATAATGAAAATACAGAGCCCCATAGGCTTTCTGACTCGCGTCTGTGAAACTGTGTAACTGTAAACCATCCTTTATATCCCTTTTCCCAGCACTTGCAAACTGATGTTTTAGTATTTCCAAACTAGAAATATGAGCTAATTCATCACAGCAGCTTTGCCAATTCTTTCTGAAATTTTCTGGTATTTCAATGTCCCATGCTGTCTTTTGTTCCCATAAGTCTTGCAATAAAATACTAGCTTGAATAGTGAATGGATTTAAAAACCCCAGTGGATCAAAGAAACGTCCTACAAATCTCAAGATTCCCTTTTAGTGCGTATATTATCTATCCTTTTGGCATCTTTTACTAAATCTTCAATTTTTATCAAAAATGTATCATTTGACCTATTCCATATGTACCCCAATACTTTAGAACAAGTCGAATCTTATAAAAAAATCTTCTTCGTTCCATACTTTTTGTAAATTCGCTTCATTTGTTTTCCCACTTCCGCATGTTAAATCCACCTTCTTTCAGTACGTGTTTTATATGTTCCGATTCCTCGAATGCTTCTGATTCTTCATCTGCTCCAGTGATTAAGTCGTCAACATACATATTTTCAGTTAGCATGGAAAATACGTTTGGATACTGTGACTTGTATTTGCCACCGTGTAAATTAAGAGTTGCTCTTAGAAGAAACGGACTAGATGTTGCTTCAAAAATTACCCTTGTCATACGAAGAGCTTTTAATTTTGGTTCCATTTAATTCACCATCGTACCATAGAAACTTGACTGTGTTTCTGTTTTCATTAGCAATAGAAATCTGCAAGAATGCTTGTTCGATGTCAGCTGTAAACACAATTCGATTTTGACGGAACTTAAAAAGCAATTCCAGTATGTCTGGACACATCTTGGGACCTGACTGTAAACAGTCATTTAATGACAAACAATTCTCCGCATGTGATGAAGCATCAAAAACCACACAGAGTTTTGTAGTTTCCTTGTTTTCTCTTATAACTGCTTGATGTGGCATAAAATACGTTTTTGGTCCAATTTCAATGTTAGTCTCTTCGGCGATTCCTTCTTTTAAGTATTTATCAATTACTTTGTGATATCTGTCATAGAACTGTTGATTATTCTGAAATCTACGACTTAAACTCTTAAATCTAATTTTAGCTATCTCCAGATTATCTCCAAGCTCATTTGAATTATGATTCCAGGCAAGGTGGACAATATAACGATTGTTTTCAAATTTTACCAATCTTTTGAAATTATCAAAAACTAAATTATCTTCTAACTCGAATTCCTTATCCGAATCGTAATTTATCCCCATAGATTTGAGCTCCCAGAGATTCTTCAGCAAACTGGACAAGGATTCGTTCTGTGTATCTTTATTGTTATGAACCACAACCTTCATAGTATTCACATTAGTTGGTGAAATTCCGTAAGCCCTTTCTGTTCCACTAATGGTCCAACCAATTTTGTTTAAACTGCTACTAAGGAATTAGATAGTCTGTGAACCTTACCCATAACTATTTTCCAATAAAAATCTGCTCCTATCAGCAAAGAAATTTTTGGCGTTTTATTCCCTTGTCCCCAGTATGTTGTATGTCCTTTTTTTTAATAAGATTAACTATTTCATTTCTAGGGAAAGGAGTATGTGATCCATTAATGACAGGAGTAATTAAAGCTTCTATTTTGATTTCATATCGATGCTTCGAATTACGCAAAATGAGGCTGTTTGTTTTAACATTCTGCGCTTCAGATGTCGTGCAACCGAAAGAGAATATTTTTATTTTTTCTTCTCCAGTCACCGGAAGTATTAATTTCTT